GAAATAATGTATGGATGAAACATCACTTACGCATTCAGCCTGTCGGCAATTGTCTTCCATGCTGCCTCTCTCGCTTTGTTTATTTGAGCGGTGTTACCTTTTTTAGTTATGATGTCCCGGTAATCATCATATAATTCCATACGGAGGTTTTGTTCAGCAACAGAGAAACTCTCTGCCCGTGGTTTTGCAGCATTCTGAGCCATTTTGCAACACTTTCAGCACTCGGCTTGTTGGGTCTTTTTATATTCCGCGGGGAGGCGCTCAGTGTGAGGTTTAACAGGTGAGGCTTGAATTAGCGTTAAGTGGAGCCAGCTGATCTCGTTTGATGGAACGGGTTGGGGCTTGGTTTGGAGTTGCCGTTAATTCAAGCTTCAAGATTACACCATAGTCCCGATTTTCTTAGCGACTTTGATGGAATACCCCCCTGGTGTCCGGTGGTCATTGAGGGCTGCTCCAGGACATCTGGACAGTCGCAAGTAAAATGCCATCTCTTCATCACCTCTGACACAGTACTGGCTTTAGCAGCAGGTAGACTGTGTCTTTGAGTTGTCCAAAGTGCTGTGTTTACTTTTGGTTGAGAGTTTGACAATTTTTTCAGCTTGCAGTGAGGTAGTCAGGTCAGTGCTAATGGAGGTCAGGTCAAAGACTGCAGAGACAACTGGGGAAAAAAGCAAAGCAAACAAACAAACAAACAAAAAAAAAAAACATACCCAAATAAAAGGAAACTTGGGTTTGCTCTTGTGTACCTAAATGTCATGTGTTTACTTTTGGCTGACGGTTTGATATTTTTTTCAGCTTACAGTGAGGTAGTCAGGACAGTACTAATGGAGGTCAGGTCAAATATGGCAGAGACAACTGAAAAAAAAAATTAATAAAACAAACAACCAAAACTTTCCCAAACAAAAGGAAACATGGGTTTGCTCTATTTTACCTACAGGTGATGTGTTTACTTTGGATTGGTAAGTTTGAGAATTTTTTCAGCTTACAGTGAGGTAGTCAGTACAGTACTAATGGAGGTCAGGTCAGAGATGGAGGATACAAATGGAAAAAAAAAAAACATACCCAAAGAAAGGGAAACTTGGGTTTGCTCTAATGTACTTAAAGCCACCCACACTAAGAGAGTAAGGTTAAGTTGGGTGGAGAAAAGGGGGGGTTTCAGCTGGTAGATAACAGAACATCAGAAAGTGTGTGTTCATTACGGAACACGCACTTTCTGATGGAGGTTTTTAATTTTAGCTGCTGTAGACATTATTGTACACAGCAGCTGAGAGTTTTGGCCTGTGCATTTATCAATCCTCACCCACCCTCCCTATGTCCAGTCAAGTCAAGTTAAATGGATTAACTTGTCTTGATTGGACTTGATAAATGCACAGGCCAAAAAATAACATTTATTACATTTGAATAGTTGAAAATTGTACAACCTGAAAAATGTTGAAATTAACCCATAAAAATATTTTTTGCACCACAAAATTTTACAAACACCAAACACATTTCAATTTCTAATAAAAATATGAGCAGAACATTAGCCACATTGTAGCTAACCTGCTGAACAATCTGACCTGGACGGTCTGACTTGCAGGGGACCTCAACTGCAAAAAAACAGAGTTGAACTTTTATGCACAGCAGCGTAACTTTATTATTTCCCCAAATCTCACCACACACAGACAGGATCAGACAGGATCTTACGATAAGTGATCTCTCATGTGTTTTACTTCAAAAAAGGAGGCCGCTGATCTGAACTGACTTCTTTTTGCTGGATCACATGGTTCTATTTGGTGGACTATTGCGTGCGTAGTGCAAGTATCCATTAATATTCAGCATGGCTAAATCCTCCAGTTTTATTTCAGGACTGTGAAAAATACACCTTAGATGCATGTGAGCATGTGTAGATGAGCGTGTCACTGTTTCTGCAGAGATAGAGAGTGAGCACATCATGAAGCTTGGTAACGAGACATGCTGCAACTTTGGGGCTGAGCAGGTCTGAAGTTATGAGGAGAAAGCGGTAAGTAATGTCATAAAGGATGCAAAATAAAGGAAATCTCGCTTCTACAAGCCTTCTGACTGAATGAAGGACTCAGTTTCAATGTATGAGAAAAGAAAAGAAAAAGTCATTTTATCTGATGGCTCAATTTATTACCTTATAAGTGAGAGCTCAGCTGTGCGTAAAAAGACCCTCTAACTAATAGGAAAAGCCGACTTTCACTGGGCTATGTTCATAATTTGCGCACAGCACCTCTCCTGTTTGACTTTATAATTTTGAAAAAAATATATTAAAATAAAAAAAGGTAATGCTGCATATTAGATCGAAGGACCGACATTTGGCAAAATTAAAGAGACAAAGCCTTTTATTCCCACTCATTGCAGATCCCGCCTTGGCCCTGCTTTAAGTTTGTAAGAGAACATGTAAGAGTTATTCTTTTTCATATCCAATGATATGGGGGGGGGGGGGGGGGGGTCATGACGGTTATACACAGCTGACCAGGTGATTTTTACAAAAATCATCTGGTGCAGGGTCCAACAGAAATGCATTTATGGTGGGGGTGCATTTTCCGGCAGAAAGTCTTTGATTTCTACTTGAGAAAGCACCCCCTATCTATTTCTAGGTATGTACACTGTCCTCAGCTTATGCTACATTGGTCTTTACTCACAAAGTTTACCTTCCAATAGAGAGGAAGTCCCTGTCACACAAAACATCATAAATAAATCAGCATCATGATGATTGTATCTGAAACCTATCTTTTAATTAAATAAAATCTTTAAAGGTCAGAGGAGAAGAAATGTAACTTCTTATCAAACAAGGCTAAATATTTAAGTTTATTAAAACCAACAACTAATAAAAGTCACAAATAATTAAATAATTTAAATTTACAATATTTAAAGTCAAACAAAGTTAAATAAAGGGAACACAAAGCTATTAAATAAAATAGAATAAATGCCTTTTATAAAATTTAACTCTTCATAAGAAAGAAAATGTCTATGAACAGAAATTATAATAAATACTGGGCAGAAGGTCATGACATAGATACAGTACAACAATCCCAAGCCCCCATCCGGAGAATCCAGGGTTCAAGCTTTAGCTATGTGCATGCAGGGCACAGATAATCCCTTTTGATGTCTGGCCTCAGGACACACTCATGGTGAAACCATCTGTCGCAGTTGTCACAGCAAATCTTAAAAGACAGAGAATTTCTTCAATTGGTGTCATCCTTATCATGTACATGCAATTTAATTTTGGCACCATTACTTCTTGGACATTTGTAGGTTACATTTACTGATTACTTTCTGATTATACTTGCATGTAAAATTCCTGTTTCAAATATTTAATTCCAGGTCCTCTTATTCCATTATTCATACTTGTACTGTTAAAAACTTACCCATTGAGGGTTATTGTTCTCCTCCAACCCACAGCAGTGGCAGACCTTGCTGAGGTCATCTGTTCAGAAAAAGAGTATGTATCAACATTCACTCTGGAATTTATTCCAAAATTTTGCAGAAATTAAATTAAACTCCATTAATATGTAATTGTATTAGGCTGTCCTGATTATTTGATATAAATTTTGTCATCAGTGTTTTCTATGGTTTAACAGAGTTAGTGGCAAACTTCATTTGAGATCATTTACCAAAAAATATTTATATGTTAGAAACTTTTTTTAAACTAGTTAAATAAAGTAAGGCGTAATGTTAAGCAATCAACCAATTTTCAAATACACTTAATTGAGACTATCTTGTATAACCTAGACGGTTAAAAGAAAGTGAGACAGGAGGACCCCCTCCACACATGCACTGTTTATGTTACTTAATGAATTCCTCAAGAATATCCAACATTTATAAATTGATACAATATAGAGTCCTGTACCAAGGTTATGGGCCATTTCAGGTGTGAACAAAGCATTTATTTTGTATAGTACTGTATATTCCACAGTATTAATTTACTACCCTCCCTGTCATTTTAACTGAAGGGCATAGATTTATAACTGCTAAAACATGAATAATTAACATTGATCAGCTGGAAAGAAAACGCACCCGATTCTTGGAGGAGGACAGAGGCTATTTCTAGCCTCATCTTGTGAACTGCCGCTTGTGTGGTCTTGATGCCAATTTGCTCACCCTTTAATATTTTTTCTGCAAACTAAAGAGAACTTAGGTTAGCATATAAGCATCTTAAGATGAATACATAAACTAGGAAGATGCTAAGATCCATGTTTTTACATTGAGCAACATGTGAATACACATAAGTGTTTCTTGTTAACATCAAAATTACAGTTTCTGTATGATACCACAAACATCCATGATCATGTAAGAAAACAGGTTAATAGGTCATGGTTTTCTTAAAAAAAAAAAAAGTTAATGACCCTGAGGTTGTCCACATTGTTTCAATGGTGTATTGTACACTCACTTTTAAGGCCAGGACACCACATGATGTTCCATCTTGCTGGCGTGCATGAGTCAGGGTGCTGCATGCCCACCTTGACACATTGCAGCCTTTCTTGCGCATAAAGGGTTAGTGAAAACTATTGCACAATCATCATTTAACAGCTCTTAGAACTGCTTTTTTTTGTCTGACATCATAGTGCAAGTACTGTGTATTAAAAAATATCAGTTTATGGAGAAAAATTACCTTGTTGACTCCAGGCATCTCTTCATGTTCCTGTCAGACTCACCCAATGGATCCAAAAAAGGCATATCCTCTCATGTGGGTAGATGACCTTTGTATTTTTAACATGGAAACACGATAAGTTAGGCACAAACCTACCATTGGACGGATTAATCTTTAAGATTGGATGGGTACATGTACATTTTTTCATACTTCAGAAATGGCCTTTGGAAGGGAGTTCAAACCTTGAAAATAGAGAGGGCCTTCAGAACCACTGATACAGATCTTAAAAAAGCAAGATTTGCACAGTACTTCTCATCTTACCGTCAACATCCAGTGCTGGTGTTCATTTTCTATTCCCACAATTACAGAGAATGCCATTGGATCGAGCTGAAAATAGGAAGAACTAATGAACATTAATTGCATAATCAGAGAAACAAATTCCACGTGCATAGTGTAACAGTCCACTACATACAGTCCTGAGTCTTGGTGTTTTTCCTTGACAAATTGCAGTCATCATAAAGCTGTCGATGACCTCAGCCTTATCTGCATTGATGTTGTTGTAGTCCCGGACAAGCAGGGTCAGGTGGGCCACGGAAGATTTTATCTTATGTGGAATACGTGTCTCCTCCTGCCTTACTCTGCTGAGGTGGTCAACATTTACCTTCGGAAACACTGCACCACCCTCTCCCTTGAGATTGGCACTTTTTCCCTGCAGTGCTGTGATGGTAAAAGGACCAAGGAAGTTTGCCTCCAGCTTTCCACCCTTCCTCTGCTGGTTCCTTATATTCTGCCGCCAGACCTGGGGCCTCATTTATAAAGCTTGCTTACGCACAAAACCTGGCTAGAAATTGCGTATGCCACTTCTTACGCAAGAGTTGGGATTTATAAAAGAAAAACTAGTGTAGGAATGTGCGCAACTTTAAGCAAACTCCACACCTTGCTTACGCACTTTTTGGAGACAATCGGAGCAAGGTGAGAGTAGTCCGGGTGATGCGTTCAGCACAACGGATGACTCGATGCAGCCTTTCTGTCCTGAGAGCTGCAGCTGCCGTACCAGGCAGTGATGCTCGCAGAAAGCGCAGACCCCACTGTGGCGGTGTAGATAGTTTGCCAATTTGAATTTACAAATGTGCAAAAAAACAAATTCCATTTACATGCATTTGTTTTAAGATTAATATGACTAAATCTTTTTGGTTTATGAACTTTCACCACATAAGCAGCGGTGGATAACGGAGCGTTTTTTTTTTTTGAACACATGCACGAGTGTCACACGTGCATGTATTCTCACCTGTCGCCGCCACGCTCTGATGGTGCAAAGCCACTTTTTTCTTTGCCTCCACCTTTAGATCAGACCACTTCTTCTTGATTTCGGCACAGTGTTGTTTTCGTCTACGTCATCGTCAACGAAAACAAAACTCCACGTGTTTGCGCGCGCGCGTGCGTGTGTGTCTCTGTGTTGGAGGAGCACAGCGGGCTGATGACAGCTGTCAGAGCAGACAGAAGCTGCTCCTATATGTTTAGCGTGTAACTGACTGAGTTTTGCAACTCTGTTCGTCATTTTCGTCTCGTCCCATCAACGTAAACGCACTTTCGTCTCGTCACATTTTAGTCATCTCCGACTTATGTTTAGCTCGTCAACGTTACGTCTTCGTCGTGGAAGAAAAGGGAAATATTTCCATCAAAACAAAAACAACCAGTGTTGTTCTCGTTGATGAAAATATTTCTTTTTGACGCTGGTGTTGACGAAAATATTTGACGAAATATGACGAAAACAACACTGTTTCGACAATGCTGCGCTCAGTGCCAGCCGCAATTGCCACCACGGCAACGGCGTTTTTATTGGTGATGCCACTCGAATGGCCGCCGAATAAGGTCTCCCGTCTCGCCGCCACCTCATTTACAAGAACCTCCACCTCGATGTCTGAAAAGTTTCTTTTTCTACGACTTGCTGATGCCATGGTTAAGCGTGAAATGCCGTGGATCCACCAGGCTTATCTACATGCAAATCACATTCATGAGGTAATTTGCATGACCATACATGGTGAATTTTGGGTGTGGAGAGGGCGGGGAAGAATCAAATCCCTGCTGAGCAACTTTCCAGCTGGTCTGTGATTTATAAAGGGAAAGTGCGTGCAGGTGTGCGTAGGCAGGGTTTTATAAATCAGATTTTTTTTTTGCCTACGCACTTTTCAGCTTTTCAACTTACGTACACTTTTAGTATGGATTCTACGCCAGGTTTTATAAATGAGGCCCCTGGTCTCCAACTTTGAATTCTACCTTTGGAGCACCTGATTGTAGTCTCCGCCGTGTCTTCTCCTGCTGCTTCTCCACATTCCTTTGGACAATAGCCCTAACACCTTCCAGCCGCTCAATGTCCTCCGACAGAGCTTCCTCTCCCACAACAGCCTCAACACTGCTGTCCAACTGTGAAAGAAAATCATTTAGCAGGAGATTTTGTAAAATGTCTTTTATAGAAGACAATATAGCTTGATTTGCTTTGCACTGACACTGCTTCCGGTTGCATTTACAGAACATTAAAACTTGTAATAAAATCATTTTAGGATTTTTTCACTAACCCTGTAGTCCTCAGGGATATCCGATGAATACCGGGCCTCTCTCCCAAACATCAGAAAGTAAGGGGAGTTTGATGCTGTAATTTGTTTTTTTGTTCTGATCCCAAACATCACGGCATCCAAATACTCGTCCCATTTTTCTGGATTGTTGCCCACCAGCTTGCCGAGAGCCCTGAAAAAATAAACACAATTAAATTTTAAATTAAAATTTGCATTTGTCGAAAATCCCTCATTTACATTGTACTAGTGTAAACTGAAGACCACATAGGTCATGTTAAATGAATAGAATGACCCTTGAAAATTTTGGACCTATGTATTCCTCACCTTTGGATGGTCCCATTCATCCTTTCCACCAAACCGTTTGTTTGGGGATGATAGGGAGCACAAAGGCTCCGGTGGATCCCCAGCTTTGCACACACGCTCTTGTTAATCTGTCAATGTAAAGTACACAAAAGTCTTAAACAGTAAAACATAGTTTTGATTAAATATTTTGTTCGGAAGGTGCAGGATTGTGAAGGGAAGCATTTTTTACAGGATATGTACCATTTTGTATCAACCACAGGAAAGTTGATATTTAAAAATGAATGTGGGAATACTTATATTTAGAAGCTGTTATAATACACACAGTTAAATGAATTCTGTCAAATAGTTGTCAAGGTTTCCATATTTACCTCATTCACAAATTCTGTCCCCTGGTCAGTTAAAATCCTTTTTGGTGCCTCGAACTGATGAAAAATTTTTACAATGCACTCGGTCACCTCTGCTGCATTTTTCGATTTTAACGGATAGGCCTGTGGCCATTTTGTAAAATAATCAATCATCACGCAGATGTATTGATTATCATTCTTTGTTTTGGTCAATTTCCCAACCAGATCCATGCCAACGAGTTCAAATGGGTGCTTGACCTAAAAAAGCATAAAAAAGAACATCAGATTAGGAGCAGCATTCCTAGGGACAATTGAATTAGTTATTGGGTGTAAATAAAAACAAATGCCAACTTCTATGTTAATATGTTAACATGCTGTTGTGTAGAAGTAGTAATTATCCTTTCTATTATATTTCAATTTACATGTTTTTAGAGCTTCCTCTGTGACCCCAGGACTCAGAGCAAAGCCGTGGAAGAAAATGTTGATCTAAAATATGTTTACCTTTATAGGGGTATACTCCACCTCCTTTTTGACCGTTTGCTGGCCGGCCTGGCAGACTATACATTCGGACACCTGCAAAGACCACATTTCACATGAACAAGTTTCCCATCAGCTGGCAACATTTTGGTTACTGAAATTTCATATTCTGTGAAATAACAGAAGCACCAGTCCTCCAAGCTGTGTAATAAAACCAAGTTCGGTAGCACTTTACAATGACCACCTGTTATAAAGCATTTATTAACATTTACAAGCAGTTTGTAGATGATTAGTAAACATGAACAAACTGTTTATTGACATTTGTAAGTGTATAACTTTACATTTACAAACTGTTTAAACATCATTTGTATGTTGTTATTAAGGCATTAGTAAGTAGTAAATTAATCATGAACAAACCATTTATATACGTCTGTAAATGATTAATAAATCATTTGTAATTAAAATTATACATTATTTATATTCTATTTGTAGATAAGTTACCCTTAAATAAGGTCTATTAAGGTGACTTAAATGTTTGTTCATGTTTAATATATGCTTTGCAAAACATTCCTTAAATATCTATAAACCATCAGTAGATGTTATTAAGAGCCCTAATGTAAAGTGAAGACTATTCATTATTTATAACTGTCATTTAAGGCAACCTCAGTGTTTGTTCATGTTTAATATATGCTTTACAAAACATTCCTTAAATACCTATAAATCAGTAGTTGATGTCATCAAGAGCCCTAATGTAAAGTGAAAACTATTCATTATTTACAAGTATTTGTTAATGTCGCCACCACGTTTGTTCACATTTAACAGACATTCGTAAATAATGAATTGTCTTCACTTTACATTAGGGCTCTTGATAACATATACCAATGATTTATAGATGTATTAGTAATGTTTTATAAAGCATTTGTTAATGTGGACTTTCTACTTACCTGTTACAAACTTCCCGGCCTTCATGGGTGCTGACACGACACACGACTAGAATTCTCTTGTTTCGCAAATGATTTGTGAGACAGTGCTAAGGATTAAAAAATATAAAAAACATTTGCATATGTTATGGCGTGCCCTGTCCAACTAGTCCAAGAGGCTGCCTTACAGACCAAGTATTCTACATTATTTCACGTTTAACACAATGATCAGTGAAAGATTTAAACAATCTTGTACCACAATAAATGTGACAGACGTAACGGTGTAGAGAAAAGCATTTAACATTTAATTCCAATATAAATTGATAAAACATTTACCCTGAACAGCTCACATTATCATTTAAACAAATAAAATATGTTTGTTTATAAAACATACAGAAAACACTTAAAATGTAAAAAATAAATAAAATAAATAAGAGGGAGCAGTTCACACACACGACTAATCTTCAATCAATTACCCACCCATAAGGCTCAGAGCCATTAATTTGATGACTGGGTCATTAGTCAGTAGAAGCTACTTGAGTCTCCACCATGAGGTAGAAATGTCCCTGCCTGACCCGCATGTCATGCAGTAGACGACCTAAGGGGCCATGTCGGTGTTTCCTTGCAAGCCAGTCTTCCCACTCAATGACTAAAAGGTGGTCTTCAAGAAGCTCCTCTGAGCAGTTTCCTCTAAGTCGCCAGATCTTTTCCTTATATGTTCTCCAGGCTCTCTCTATATGTTGGGTGTGGGCCCCTGTTACTGGATTCACATAGGCAACACTGTGGTTTACTGTATAGTGCCTGTAGCCTAGTTGAGGCAGAGCATTGTAAGCTCGCCACTCATCACTAATGATGGTTGACCCTCTCCTGATGTACAGATTAATTAACGGCACTAGCGTGGCTCTGCTTCGCCTCTCCACCAAGCGGAGCACATGTTTCCCTTTGCTTTGTCCTCTGCGCCGCACTCCCAGCATTCCGAAGACCCACTTTTTTCTTTTCCAGGCCCCAGCCATTCTGCCCCTTCCATACTGAAGATTTGAAAACAACAAGACATTGATATCGAGTTAAAAAAAAAGCATGTCTTGAGCAGAAGTCACCAGACAATTCACTTTCATAATCATCATTTAACATAGTCCATTTTTATTTTTCTACAGTGAGTGATAATATGGTTCTGATTGTCAACTTAATTTGGATTATACTAAAGTTATTACCTTTCTTTTATGCCTGAAGTGACTCTCATCTATAGCTACAAAGTATCTCCTCTCCCCTATTCGCTGTCTTTTCCTTCTCTGCAGCTTTTTCATGGCTCTTTTGCAGACCTCTCTCATGGTCTTCGACATTTTTGACAGGGTTCTTGATGATCCCGCAATGTCATCACTGATGAGGTCGATCTGCCGCAACCTCAGTCCTTGGGAGAATCTTGAAAAGCATAATACATCATGATGACAATGATTCCAGTTTATAGCAGACCCACAACACTGACAATTTAAGCTATATTAATTAATTTGCATTGATGTTCTCAATACCTGGCTACATAGATATAAACATAAAACACACAAGGTATGTGTTGTCTAACCTGTACACAAATCTCATCCAATTGCACAGTGAGATTTTGTTTTTGGAAAACAGGCTCTTGTGCCGAATTGACCTTCTCACTGTTCGGTGGTTGCGTCGACATATCCTAAGAGAAAATGTGAAATGGATTATATACTAAAACATTCAGATGTTCTTTTTAAACGTACAACAAAAAACATGCTGTTTAATTGTTTACTGAGCAACCTGACAGCTACTTTAGTAACACAAACACATGCACGCACGCACGCACGCACGCAAACACATGCACACAACATGCACACAACATGAACATATATTCCTACCTAATGTGGTAACAGGTCAGATGGGCATTAAACAAAACCAACTGGGCACCAGAGATATAGTATCTATGCACCAAACCATCTGGGCACTGGAGAAATGTGGGCATCTGGACAACGGGGAACAATGGACAGGTGGGCATCTGGACAACCGAGCACTACTAGGGACATGTGGGCACCTGGACGAGTAGACACCTTCATTTATAGCATGCTGTTTGACCCACTGTTCTTTAAACCCCCAAAATGACACAATAGTAAGGTCAAAAGAGTTTATTTGCCAAAATAGTTCTGAGGTCAAAAGTATATAACATCAGAGTTTCAAAATTCAATAGAAGAGTGTATTTGCCAAAAGAGAAGTACCAAAAAATAACAATTACGTGGAAGTAGGAAGTAGTTAAATGGAAGTAGTTCAAAAAAGGTAAAATATTAATGCCCGGTTGTCTAGGTGCCCACATGTCCCTAGAGCCCAGTTGTCCAGGTGCCCAGTCATCTAACACATGTCTGTAGTGCCCACTTGACTTGATATACACTACTTACACACACACACACACTCACAGACACACACACACACACACAAACGAACACAGTCATCCTTATAACAGTATTTATGTACATAATATTTTTTAGCCTTTTTTATTAAACATACAATCTATATTAAAAAATAAAAATAAAATACATACCATTCAAATCTGTCCAAACAAGCCCTCCGCAGCATCAGCTTCATATTGTGCCTGCATGAACTGCATTTAACCTTCCTTTTCAGTATTTTTTTTCTTTTGCCGCCATTTAATCAGTTTGTGTGTGTTTTTTGTTGTTTTCCTCCCTTCTGTCAATTCTCTTAATTTACTGGACAAACCAGGCATTTTGGCAGAAACAAGCTCACAAATGAAAAATCTCTGCAGCAAACCTCACTTTCAGTTCTCATCTGTTGCTGTTAGCTTTGCCACTCAGTCATATTGTCCCGCCAGAATACGTAACCAAAAAAGAAAAAAGTCACATCAGCGTGCTTCTGGATTGGATGGGAGCTCCGTGGCAATCCCCTTCCTGCCATTCAACCAAATCAGAGGCAACCAGGGAGGATGCTTCCTATGTCAATCAAGACAGACGACTGGCCAATCATGTGGCGCAAAGGGTGGGTCGAGTCCAAGCTCTTGAGCAGCTGAGCTGAGGCGGCGGGCTTTCTCAATAATCATTCAAAAGGTTGCAAGAATGAACACCGCTACTCGTCGAGCACGAAATAAACGTCCAAGGCCGATAGACGTTATTGAAGATGAGGAAGAAGGCAACAGCACAGGTAAGCTACTGTACAAAAGCCATATATGTTGCTTGGAACATGTATTTGTTTACTTGTTTTGTCCTGCAAAATACGGTGATGAACTGATCACAAACATAAATGTAGCTAGTTAGCTAGTTGCACTGTTATTTATTGTTTTTATTCTATGGAGCACCCCAACCTCAGCTTTTCACAGTGCAATGTACTTGTACATAAATCTTGTGAGAATAAACATCTTGAATCTTGAAGCGTTAGCCTTGCTATCGCTCAGGTTAGTGGAGCAGGGTTCAAAACCAACGGCACTACATCGTCCAGGGCTTGCAGGGGCCGAATTAGAATTAGGCCGAATTTTCAATAGGTCCCCCGCTAGATGATAATTTTGAACTAAATGGGACCCTTGTGGGTGTGTAACTCTGAGAGTATACAAAAGGAACCAAATGGACCCGGTAGTGTCCATTATTTTTACACTCTAAATTAATCAACAATAACTTTAGCCTCTCAAAAAGGGACATATCTTTTCAAATATGGCTCTGCAGGCTAATATGTGTGAGTTTGGAGGTGTTGACAGGAAAACGTTTAAGAACCACTGGCTTATACTGATTGAAGCCGACCCATGTTTAGCCCAGGGACCAACAAATGTGTATTTGGGACAAATGTGCCTTATCCACAATGAGTTCATTGAAAAAGGCTTCAAAGCTCCCCAGACCTATTTGGAATGAATTATTTTAGCCTTCATAGAGCATAATAGTGGGCGGGGTTTGCTGGTTCCACTAAAACGAGCCCCATTCATTTTCACCACAAGCTTTTACAAAAATATTTATAACAATTATTTTTAACTTAGAACCAAGCCATCCAGCTTTCCAGTGAATCATGACCATGAAACCTTTGATTCTGTGAAAAGAAAAAAAGAAACGCTAAACAAAGGATATTTATGAAATGAAGTATATCAAATAATTAAATATTCAAATATTTCTTTTCACAGAACCAAAGGTTTCATGGTCATGATTGACTGGAATCCTGGATGGCTTGGTTCTAGGTTTAAAATAATTGTTATAAATACTTTGTAAAAGCCTATGGTGAAAATGAATGGGGCTTATTTTAGTGGAACCAGTAAACCCTGCCCACTATTATGCTCTATTGGAGTCTCTGTGCCACAGACCAGTATGGTGGCAAATATGGTTTACAGCACTGTTTCCTAGACAGTGGGTCGGGACCCATTGGTGGGTCAGACATATGTGGTGATCATGTTCTTTTCCAACATTTATCAATCTATATCTTTCCAGATTTGACGAAAATAATACATTTAAAAAACAAACAAATCTTAAAAAAGAAAAAAACGCAAATATTAAATATGTATTAAGAAGCAGTGAAAATAGCCAATCTACAAGCTCTCAACATGGTGTGTACTGATTGATGCGAAGGGTTATGTCACATTAGGTCCAATTGAAACATTCAACTTGTGCTTATGCCATTACTCAGTGTTATAGCTGGCAAACACAACATTAGTAACAAGCACTTTTGGTTAACTAATCACCATTTGTCATCTCTGTTTCAGGAAACCCTGTGTCCCAGTCGCCCACTGCTGAGCTGGCAGCAAAGAGGATGCGCACACAGCTAGAGAAGGCCAAGAATAATGAAGCTTCTCAAGCTAAAGTGATTGAGAAGTTAACGAAAGAGAAGGAAGACCTTCTGGCTGAAGTGGCCAAATGTAAGTACTCCACTTGTATTCAATTACATTAGACAGGACAACGATCCACTCGTCCTTGACTCTTTGCCCTGTTACACCCCAAACTGTGGAACAAACTCCCAGTTGCACTTAGAACTACAGACTCAATGGTTAGTTAATTTTGCAAACTTCAAATAGGCTATTTGCAGTTCTGTTCTACTGTAGCCTAGAGTTATTAGTTTTAAGAACCTTGTTAACCAGTAAAATCACTCTCAGCCCCACTGCTCCTTTTTGTAGTTTGTGATGTGATATAGGCCTTGCTACATGCTCAGTGTTTGTTCTGTTGTATTCCCTAAGATGCCCCTCTCTATTGTGTCTAATGCGTTATTTGTCTTTGTATCTATTGTTTTGCTTTCTTAGATAAGAAAAAAAGTACCAAGGCAAATGAAGAAGAGTATGCATCCAGTGACTCCCAGATTTCCACAACCTCCACATCTTCCTCTTTGTCATCCTCCTACTCTTCAACCTCAGAGGAGGAGAGAAAGAAGAAAGGGAAGAAGACGAGGAAGAAAGGGAAGACACAGAAACGGCCAAAAAGGAAGAAGGCAAAGTCCAGTAAGGAAAAAGGAAGATGCAGAGGTAACTGTGCTTTGCAAACATGACCTTTTTGGTGACCACAACACACACACACCTGCGCTCTTTCCTAATAACTTGTACTTTTGCTTTATAGTGTCAACTTATTTTTAAATATAAGATCTTTCAGTCTTTTGTTAGTTTAAAGGGTACAACCGTATTACGTATTTTGGTGTCAAAACGCCTGTTGTATCAAGAAAAACTACAGAAATGACAGCAGAGATCTACAGCTAAAATCGTAGGTCTGCTATATCAAATTTCATAAAACGATTTTTCTCTTTGTATTTTTCATTTCAGCAATGAATCCTCAGCCGGTGGTTGAGAGGTACAAGAAGGTGCTGGGTCACTTCCAGAAGGGCAAAAATCTATCTGAGAGCTACAACGCTGTGGACGTCAACAAAAACACCATTACAACCAGCGCCTCCATTCCAGAGCTCGCCATATCTGCACCGGATAAATATGCTGACGTTCTGCAGGGCTATTCTAGGTCGCAGAAGCTGAATGTATTTGTGCAGGAATGTTCAAAGGTCCTCAGTGAGGACCCCGAATTGATGGCTAAGGTAGATAAGCTTAAGGATGAAGGGAAACTACTCCCGATCTCAAAGAGAACATAATCTCCCTTTTTTTTTTCTTTTTCGGATCACAGTTTTAAGGGCAAGGTCACACCACACTTTTATTCTTCCTAGCACTCCATTTACCTTTTTAAATACATTGGCAGAATCTGTCCTTATAGGTGGAATAAAAGTGTGGTGTGACCATACCTGGAGTAGGTTACCTCCAGTCCAGATATTTAAATTGTTTTAAAGGGTGTGTTGGCTACTTAAAAAAGGGAGGTCCCTCACACTGTCTTCACTCACAGGAGGAGGTTATTAGGCATCAGATAAATATTATAGTAGCTTAATGAACTACTCCTGTGAGTGAAGACGGTGTGCAGTATTTCCTTTATTATTATTATTTTATTTGTACTGCACCGATTTCCTGTCCTGGTGCTGAAAAGGACTTTATATTGCACTAATTGCCCTTTCGCTACAAAGGACGTTGTTCAAAGTGTGTACATTATTATTTTTCTTCTATTGCACTGATTTCCTGTCCTGGTGCTGAAAAGGACCCTCCTATATTGCACTGATTGCCTGTTCTCTAAGTGTTTACATTTTATAGGAAAATGCTCCGTTCGACTGTCAGGGTAAATGTTTTATCAATTTATATTGGAATTAAATGTTAAATGCTGTTCTCTACACCGTTACGTCTGTCACATTTATTGTGGTACAAGATTGTTTAAATCTTTCACTGATCATTGTGTTAAACGTGAAATAATGTAGAATACTTGGTCTGTAAGGCAGCCTCTTGGACTAGTTGGACAGGGCACACCATAACATATGCAAATGTTTTTTATATTTTTTAATCCTTAGCACTGTCTCACAAATCATTTGCGAAACATGAGAATTCTAGTCGTGTGTCGTGTCAGCACCCATGAAGGCCGGGAAGTTTGTAACAGGTAAGTAGAAAGTCCACATTAACAAATGCTTTATAAAACATTACTAATACATCTATAAATCATTGGTATATGTTATCAAGAGCCCTAATGTAAAGTGAAGACAATTCATTATTTACGAATGTCTGTTAAATGTGAACAAACGTGGTGGCGACATTAACAAATACTTGTAAATAATGAATAGTTTTCACTTTACATTAGGGCTCTTGATGACATCAACTACTGATTTATAGGTATTTAAGGAATGTTTTGTAAAGCATATATTAAACATGAACAAACACTGAGGTTGCCTTAAATGACAGTTATAAATAATGAATAGTCTTCACTTTACATTAGGGCTCTTAATAACATCTACTGATGGTTTATAGATATTTAAGGAATGTTTTGCAAAGCATATATTAAACATGAACAAACATTTAAGTCACCTTAATAGACCTTACTTAAGGGTAACTTATCTACAAATAGAATATAAATAATGTATAATTTTAATTACAAATGATTTATTAATCATTTACAAACGTATATAAATGGTTTGTTCATGATTAATTTACTACTTACTAATGCCTTAATAACAACATACAAATGATGTTTAAACAGTTTGTAAATGTAAAGTTATACACTTACAAATGTCAATAAACAGTTTGTTCATGTTTACTAATCATCTACAAACTGCTTATAAATGTTAATAAATGCTTTATAACAGGTGGTCATTGTAAAGTGCTACCCAAAGTTCTGGTAGGATTATATAAAAAGCAAATTAGCTTCCAGTATCATTCAATTACCCATTTATCGATGTCTGCAGCCATTCCAGGCCAGAAAAATCGCCTGGAAATGGCATCCCGGGTCTTCCTTTGTCCAGTGTGGGCTCCTGTGGCACTGGCATGAAAATCTATAAAGATTTCATTGGCCTCTTTCTGTCCACACACTACTTTTGTTCTGGAGGATCTGGCCGCACCTCTGTTCTACAGAGGTGCGGCCAGTATGTTTACCCCAGGAAACATTTTCTTGTGAAGGTTGCTACAGCTGGATGGGATTGTTATCATTTAGACACCCAATGTTACAGATAAATTGGATAAAAAAAATTAGCCAGGGAGGCTCCATGTTCAGCTACAACTACATGAAATGTTTAAAACCTCCTGAAGAAAAGTTGTATCATGCAAAATGATTTGCAAAGAAATCTGTAACAAAGTAAAAGAAAAAATGGAGACACAGGCAAAGCAAGTATTCCCACATAAGGGATTCTTGTGTGAGATTTCCTGCAATAACCATTGTCCCTTCTCTATGGCGCTACTTACCCCTTACCAGGGTCACAGGTGGTGCTGGAGCCTATCCCAGCAAATATTGGGCAAGGCAGGAATACGTCCTGGGCAGGTAACTAGTCCATCACAGGACACACACATGATTGACTCACACATTCATACATAAGGGCCTATTTTTAATTAGACTCTTCAATTCAAATAATTTGCAGGTTTTGGATTTAAAATACAATGACAGGGAATCTAAGAAAACAATTAAAATGTCTTTGTGAATGATTGATCACATAATTATTATTGTTTTAAGGGGGAAAGTTCTGTGTCTGTGAATGTATTACTCGTTTTCATGTTTTTCTTTACGTTCCCAGAGGAATAACATGAGCACATGTCAGAAAGAACATGAGATCAGCAGCGAAACTTGTCAGGTAAGCTCTCTAGTGCCACCACATCTCGCGTTTGCTACGTGTCTTGGATAATACTTGGGGAGACACCCCCGCATAATTACATAATTACAAGTAGGCCTATATGACGTGTATGACATAAAATTTTTTGTAAGTTGTGGTAATAGGTTTATGGGTCGTCCCAAATATTCCACCTTTCCTTTTCTTCCAGCTCAGGAAGCACTCTGAAAGAAAAATATATTCTGTAGACTGATTTGGCATTAAACTACCTTATTTATGCCGTCCTCACAAGTTACAGTAGAAAGAAATAAGCAAAGTACGTGCGTGATCTTTAGTCGAAGAAACTGTACAGAAAACTCGCTCAGACTCCATGAAGACCTGCGTCATTTGGCCCCTGCCTGAGTATAAAACGATTTCTTGAAATCTCCTGAATATAAAAGTTCATGAAAATGTCACTCACCTTCAACGTCATATCGTGCAGCCTTTCGGCGAATTTCATTTTTGTCAGATTCTGTGATGCCCGCTGAATACAGGCCTTTTGTTTTGTAATCGAGAATCGCCTTGTAAAGTGCAGGATCCATTTTCACTAGTAAATTAAAAGGGGAAAAAAACACTTTTATGACAGAATGTGTTAAAGGGCGTTTTAATTTTGTTTTAAAAACATAAATGCTGACACAAATTAGAAAACTTACCAAGCAATCATTTTTCCTACCGATCTGCAAGCAATCTATCAACTGCTACCGCGGATTGATACTTGGCAATGGAAAAACACCGGATGTCGCTTTCTGACAATTTGATAATCCTAAAGGGTTTTGGATGATATTGTTGCAATTCAACATATTTTAATGTCATAATAATGTAAAATCAATTACAATTGGTTCATTCAAGTTTACTCTAGAGTTTAATCTAAAAAATGTGCCATTAATTGTGAGAATATAATATGCCTTCCCATTATGGTCTTTGACAAATAAAAACAAACGCTGTAATTTTGGTATTGAAGTTTTCATTTTATTTTTATTGTGTTATATACAAATGACAATGCACTTCTTCTGACATCCATAACTGGTATAACGTGTGTATCTGAGTATCCAAACATTCAAACCAAGGCCTTAAAACAACCACACCATTTCAATGAAAAGAGATATCGTGCTTTCTAAGAATGGAACCCAGAGGAAGTAGATATAAAGTGAACAGCAAGGGCCCAAGGATTGAGCCCTGTGGAACCCCATAAGACAGAGGAGCGAGGCGGGACTCACGACCAGCAAGGCTTACACACATAGTTCTGTCTGCCAGATAGGACCTAAACCACTCCAGAGCACTACCACAAATCCCCACAGGGTGCTGCAGCCGAGTTACTAAAATATTGTGGTCCACTGTATCAAATGCTGCAAGTCCAGTAAGACAAGAATCACATTGTCCCCAGAAACATTTGCCAGGAGGATGTCATTAAAAACCCTTTTCAAAGCAGACTCAGTGCTGTGTAGGGTTTAAAAAGACCACCAAATTATAATGTTCATCCAGATATGATTCAAGCTGTGTATGACAATTTTCTGTAAGATTTTTGACATAAATGGCAGCTTGGCGATGGGCCTGAAAGAGGCTAGTATAGTGAAATGGAGGCCAGGTTTTCTAAGTAAGGGTTGTACTTCTGCATGTTTAAAAACTTGCAGGTACAACACCAGAAAAGACATGCTGCCGGAAAACGCACCCCCACCATAAATGCATTTCTGTTAGACCCTGCACCACATGATTTTTCCAGTATTAAAGGAGGATAAGTATGAGTAACTAGGGTGAGTTTCATGGCCCCCTGACCTTCCTGGCCAGAGATAGACGGGGGGTGCAGTCTCAGACAGTAGGCACAGACATGCTGCCGGAAAACGCACCCCCACCATAAATGCTTTTCTGTTGGACCCTGCATCACATGATTTTTACAGAATACAGAGGGGACTAGGAGGATTAACCAGAGTGAGTTTCATGGCCCTCTGACCTTCCTGGCCAGAGATAGACAGGGGCTGCATCTCTGAGCAATGGCCTCAACAGCCTGCCATGAAATGTATTCTCCATACATTGTACCTCAGCATCAGGCACATTTAATTGGATACTCTTGGTGCCGAAGTTGTGTACGTTCAAATATGACATGTCTGAAAACCGAATTGTCATCTGTCGACTTCTGACTCATCCATTTATTCATTTATCCATCCACTCATGAGCCTCTATAAGTGGAAGAAAATGATCTTATAAGAAAAAAAACACGAGTATTGGATCATGACAACATGTCAAATATTCTAAACCCCCCCGCATGCCCCGGACTGAATGCGGCACAACACCTTGCCCTATGTCTACATATGTATTTAGTCTTTGTTATTTACTTAATATACTTTATAATTATTTTATTATTTTATTATTATTATTTTATTTTATTTTATTTTTTTTTATTTCTCTCATATATGTGCTTTCTAATGTTGTGC